GAATTTAAGTATTCTCTGTTGAGGGTGGGCCGTTGTTTTTATCTAGGTGACGTCATCGGGACTATACACCCAAGCAGTACCAATAATTTTCTGATAATTCAACGGTTTAGATGGGTGGTACTACAGAGAATTTACGTACTTTCTGCTGCGGGTGGAGGGTTGTTTTGGTGTAGGTGATGTCACAGAGAGTACTGACTTTAACGGTTACGAGGACAGTACCAATAATTTTCTATTTCAACGGTTTAGGTGGTCGGTACTACCTAGAATTTAAGCACTTTCTGCTGAAGGTGGAGTGATGTTCTGGTCTAGGTGATGTCGTCGGGAATATCGGCTCGAGCGGCTGCGAGGGGAGTACCAATAATTTTCTGCTATTGCAACGGTTTAGCTGATTGGTACTACCAAAAATTTGAGAACTGGTGGTGGAATGTTATTTTCGTGTATCTGATGTCATCGAAAGTACCGACTCGAGCAGCTGCGAGGGCAGTACCAAAAATTATCTGATATTTCCACGGTTTAGATGGGTAGTACTACAGAGAATTTAAGTTAGTGTCCTTGATTATGATCATAGCTGTTCGAAATCGAGAGTTTCGAAGACTTCCAATTTATACGTGAAGTATGTTGAAACGAGTTACGTTATCAAAGGTTTTTTTTTATACCGAAGCAGCCGCACAGGCAGAAGCCTAAATGCCGGAGACTGCTATTAACAGGTGGGCTGAAAAGTCCGTATCGTTTCTATGAGATGGCGCCACCAGAATAAAATCCATACGCTTCTTAGCTAGTACCAACCTTCAAAAGATGCCTGTCAAAATTTGACAGCTGTCGGATCATTAGTTTTTGAGTTATCGTATCGAGAGTGACGCTACTTTTGTTATTTTTGAAAACCATGGAAAGTCAAGAGTTTCGTGTGTTAATGAAACATTATTTTTTGATGAAAAAAAGTGCCGTCGAATGCAAGAAATGGCTTGATGAGTGTTATCCGGACTCTGCCCCGGGCGAAGCAACCATTCGCAAGTGGTTTGCTAAATTTCGTACCGGTCACATGTCAACTGAAGACGACGCACGCAGTGGACGCCCAAAAGAGGTCGTTACGGACGAAAACGTGAAAAAAATCCACAAAATAATTTTGGGAGACCGCAAAATACGGTTGATTGACATAGCTGAGGCCTTAAACATATCAAAAGAACGTGTCAGTCACATCATTCATGAATATTTGGATATGCGAAAGCTCTGTGCGAAATGGGTGCCGCGCAATCTCACATTTGACCAAAAGCAACAACGCATCGACGACTCTGAGGCCTGTTTGGAGGTGATTTTGCGCAATAAAACCGATTTTTTTCGCCGATACGTCACCATGGATGAAACATGGCTCCACCACTACACACCGGAGTCAAATCGCCAGTCGGCCGAGTGGACGGCTGCATCCGAACCACCTCCGAAACGTGGAAAGACGCAACAGTCAGCAGGCAAGGTTATGGCCTCTGTTTTCTGGGACGTGCAAGGAATTATTTTCATCGACTATCTTCAAAAGGGCCAAACTATCAACAGCGACTATTATATAGTGTTACTGGAGCGTTTGAAGGCCGAAATCGCCAAGAAACGGCCACAAATGAAGAAAAAAAAAATCTTGTTTCACCAGGACAATGCGCCGTGCCACAAGTCCATGAAAACGATGTCGAAATTGCATGAATTGGGCTTCGATTTGCTCCCCCATCCACCGTATTCTCCGGACCTTGCTCCAAGCGACTATTTCCTCTTCTCAGACCTTAAGAGAATGCTCACCGGAAAAAAGTTTCACAGCAACGAAGAAATCATCGCCGAAACTGAAGCCTATTTTGAGGACAAGCCGAAGGATTACTACCGGAAGGGTATCGAAAAACTTGAAGAACGTTATAATCGCTGTATAGCCCTTGAAGGCAACTATGTTGAATAATAAAAGCGAATTTTGACGAAAAAAATATTTTTTCATTGAAACGATACGGAATTTTCAGCCCACCTGTTATGATCCCAAAGAAATTTTGTTAATCCGCTTTTTGAACTGTCTAAGGTTAGTAAAACTGGGAAAAGGTTTAATGAAAGGGCATTTTAACATTTCATCCTAACGAGTATCTGATACTACTTGAAATATACTTCTAGTAGATCTTTTGGTGTGAGTGATGCAAAATTAAAAGTTCCCTTTCATACATTGGCAGACCATATTTAATAATTTTTGGCCGTATCATCATTCACACCAATGTCGATTAAAATACGAAACTGAGAAACTTTTTCTGCGATTTTACAAGACATTTACCCCACGAAAAAGTGTGGCGACGTTTTTAGAGATTCTGATAATTTGTGGACTCCCAAGCTGCACTTGTTCAACATATTGCAACCCTCTGGTCACTTGATAATACATAGTAATTAAAAATAAATAAAATCAACACTAACAGGTTTTCGTCTATCTCAAATTTTTTATGTTTTATACTTCACTCTAAACCCTAATCCGAATTCTTGTCTCTGATGATTCAACAAAAATAATACTTGAAATACTCTTGAAGTGATTGTTTCAAGTTACATTAATCATCCTATTATATTGTTTTGCTGCTAATTTATTGATAAGAAACTCGCTGCAGGAAATCCTGTGAAACAAAGACGATGACTGTACACACTACACAGACGTCAGAGGACTAATATGAAGCTACATCAACTGAACTTGAGCTACAGTAACAAATTTCCATCAATTTTGGATGGTTCAATACTAAAAATTATCACAATGCAAACTACTATTCATGATTCATTAGGTGAAATTTTCTGAAAACACGTAACGCTGTATAACGAGTTGATTTATGATCCTGCAACATTCGTGGAGAGTTGCATTTAGGATTAGATTCTTAATAAATACTTTCAATGTTTATCCACGTTTTCATTATCTCGAGATTTCAATCAGAAGTCGGATAAAACTTTCGCATTTGGCAACACCGCTGTACTCTCTTGAACCTACCGGATCCAAATATGTAAAAACGTATAGGGTGACCCACTTAAAAATGCAAATTTCAGTACATTTCCGGTCAAGCGGGAAGCCTGTGTTTACTCTTTACGTGGAAATATCGAAATGTATGCATATGATACCTAGGCCTAAGAAATTCAACAATAAACACCTAATATCTAAGTGAGATAGAAAAACGAACACCCAGTAATAATGAATTTATTACAAAGATTATCTAATAGATCACCTGACCTAACAATGTATTATTATTTACATTCTTACATTACCTAACCCTAAAAGACATTGTATACAAAACATTAAGGTAACACAATTATTACTGGATGTTTTTTTCAACTATGTCACTTATTAGTATGTAAAATGACAAGAAACGAATATATGCCTTGATTCACATACTAGCGAAGATATTTATAACTTTATGGCAACGCACATTACCGTACGCCCATATTTCCCGATTGAAAAATCGACAAGAACCACTCTGTTCACAATGAATCACCAGGTTGCGCGATTACCTGCGCCAAAGACATTCTTGACCATATTGTGAGGAATCATAAAAATACCACCAAAATGACTCATTCTGAGGTACCCAAGATTTTCTGTTATGACTTGAAGCAACAATGCAAACCATCACACAGAACCGTCTTTGTATGTAAATTACCTGATAACTAAATACGCGTCAGGTGTTCTAGCCGATTGGATGTTGATTTGACGTGATTTTTTATTCTTACGCGAAAATAAAGGTTTTTAGGAGCCTTTACGTTTTACGAAACGAGGAATTGTCGAGGTTGTCATAATACATGCTTCAAACGTTTGTTTTGGACGTTTAGTGAAATGCAGACGTATTTTTTCGAAAATCGTTGCATTAATAATGGAGATATTGACAAAAAAAACACAAATGTCAATTCATCTCATTTTGCACGCTTTTTCAGATTCCAAACATTTCTTGAGCTTTGTATTTTTTTCTTTTGAGATGGAACACCTCATATGCTTTTTTGAAAACAACAACTTTGTTTCTCAACTTCTTAGTCACTTTTTTCAATAATTAACGATTATAAATTGTCCGAAAAATTAACCTTCAAGATTCCAATATTTCTTAATGCTTAAAACTAGTAAAAAATCGCATACTTCAAAAGCATACAAAAATGAGAAAAATAGGAGTTATCAAGAGACCTTCATCCAATGTTCTTGACTAAGTCCATGATTTTCCTTCAGCACTTTTGTTTTGCCTAAACCATCTTTAATGACCAGTTTAAAGTGTTGTTTGTTCAATTTTTGTATCATTCTGTGAACTTTTATTATAGTACCTAAGTGTGAAAAAAATAATACCTAAAAATTGACCTGTCTGATTCTTTGAACTGAGTTAAGTAGCTTCAAAGAAATTATACCAGATAATGGCAACTTTAATGCCAATATAGAGTGCAAAATTCGAAATAATGAAAATCTGATGTTTAGGACTAAATTGTTATTGACTTTAATTCGGCTACAGCCAAATTTTATTAATGCTCTTTATGATATAATTAATAATTGAAAAAATTGCTGTACCAAGGGCCGTATCATCAATAGTTCCTACAAATGGCCTCCTTGATTTTCATAGTTTTCTACTCTTCGCTGTCAGTGCTCTATTTTGAGGTTATGTTACAAAACCATTTGCCTCAAATTGTACATGCTTTTGTTTTATATCATTTGTTTTCAATTCAATTTCCTTCAATTCAAATCTTTAACAGTATTTTGATACTATTGCAAGGGTTTTAAATATTTTTCATATTATAACATATACAAAACGATTATTTCATAAAGACCAATCTTAGGGGAATAGGGTTACATTTTCTCTGTCAACAAATGAAAATCAAAATGAGAAAATAAATATAACGACTTTTAAAATGCAAGAAATTCCATTAATTATAAGAATAAGAAGCTCTTAAACACATACTTATCCTCCTGCTTATTTAAACAACAGTACTTGTTTAAGTAGCGTTTTGTCGTTTTGATATAGAAAGAAAAACAAACATTCTCTACTCACATAAATGAGGCCAGAATAATACCGGTCTTTGAGGTTGTGCAGGACACATGCCTCATTGAGACATGTCAGTTCGGCCATATCCTCGACCTTATCGAACTTGGGAGGGTTCATTTTCTGGATATCATCCTTGGGCACCACGATCCTCTTTCCAGTTTCCTGGAGCTCCACTTCAACCTCATCCCCCTTTTCGCCTTTGATGCTCGCGGCCACGAAGCCGTGCGTCTCGTGAGGCACCCACACGAGCCTTTTCTGGGTCCATTCCGCCTGAGTTGCCGGGTCGTTGAAGTTGTTCCTGTCGACGTAGAGGAACTTCAACTCCGGATCGAAACGGTCCTTGGCTTCCTTCTGTTCCGTCGAGTCGGCCATGGCGAAGCTACACAAAGAACCACCCGATAACTTGAGCCGCGATCACATCAAGTCGCCACAGACCGAAGGCGAACCGTTTCACGTTACGTTGAACTTGGTTAATTGACGACGTTTATTGCTGTTTTTACTGAGTTTTTCGTACACTCACTACACCGGGCGTGTTTGTGGTGATAGTCTTTTCGCTGGGTATGGGTTTCTCTTTCTCAACAAGTTCGTTTTCTGTCAATGACAGTTCGCTAGTTCCTCGGCGGTTCAGTCGCTGGAAAACTGGCTGGTGGTGGGAGCGAACAAAGCGAGGCGCCGTTGCCGATTCGCTAGGATATTATGAAAATTCATAAGAATGTGCGGAAAAATATTTGACCTAAATAAGGGATATATCAATATGTCAGAATGACGTTTTAAATTCTGAGTGACTGTCATAAAACGTCAAGTTGTTCTGGATAGTGATGTGAATATTCGCATTAGAGCCTTAGCGGAAGTATTCATTTCATTTACTCACGCATCACCCGTTTTAGATTAACAATAAATCCACGGATTTCTCCATGAATTGTGTGCATGGCCAAATGTCAAATGTGTAAGGCACGAATTTGACGTCAAAGCTCTCCGTGGATTTTTCAGGAAATTAGAATTTGTTCTAATTTTTGCGAAGTTCAGTTCAACTATTGAGCATTGATAGAGCTAAAGTATTCAACAATATGGTTTCTGTTTATGAGATTGGCCTCAAAACCAAAACCACAATACACATAAAAACTCAAAATGTTTCTAGCAAGAATTTGTAGTGTGGTTGGTAGCACTGTGCACTGACAGATAATCCATGAATTTGTCCATTGATGCAAACACCGCAAAATATGATCGAGATGACCTTGAAGAAATCTATATCAATATATTCGTGAAGAAATTGTTGATGTAAAGCAGGAATTAGAGTGCCTTTTAAATTTGCTCAATTGTTTAATCCAGGGTAGAATAAAGCGCCAATCTCATTTATCGAATTTTTTCAACTTTGTTATAGTAATATCATTTCTTCTTCCATATATGTGTAATTCAGCTCAAAAATTAGTGTTTTTGATAAATCGGGTACATAAAATGGCCGATTTTTATGCTTCAAAAAGCAGCGTATTAGATTAGATTTTTTTAATGATCACATTTGTAACCAGCGATTCATACTGCTCCAGCTCCAGTGTACAGAGTTTCATTCACTTTCTGTCACAGGGAAGGAAAATAGTATAGTTGGATTGTGAATATCTAAAATTTAAAGGATAACTAGATAGCGTTTTAAAAAATTCTCAAGCATATGGGCAACCTACACCAAAACCCATTTTTGTTGGATTAATCAAGTAAGTAGAACACGAATCTGAGGTTATTTTTGTGCAGGAGGCCCCAGAAGGACCATCTCCCCACTGTAAATATAGTTTCGCGGCACTTTTTGATAGTTCCAAATAGGGTTGCAATGGACATCGGCATGGGTATTACGCATATTAAAAAGTGATATTTCGTCGTTTTTTTGACATTTCGTAGGTTTTTCTACAAGATGTTAACTTAGCACAAGCGGTTGTACACTTATGATCTCGTTTTGGAACTGAACGTGTTGCTTAATCGTCAACGAACAGCGATCATAACAAGCAATCGTGATGACATTTTGTCGGTTTCTTGACTTTTTAGGTTGTTTGCATAATATGCTCATAAATCAAAGAACGTAAAATATACGAACTTTAATTTTTTCATCAATCAACCATCAGTCAGTGAAATTAAATGGCCAATGCTAATACTGTATGAAACAAAAGGTAGAATGATAAAACAAACTAAATTAATAACCGTTCAGGATCAAAGTAAATCACACAGTAAAACATCTTTTCTATTTCAAGAAAAATAAACTTTAAAGAGAAAATCCGCCATTGTCACTGAATTAGTAAATACATTTTGCTAACGGGGAATTGCGGTTTATGAATGCGAGTTTTTTTGCGTTTGCTAGCCAAAGCAGGTTTTGCTGCTCTATGTATACTCGTACTTTGACGAATTTTGCCAAAATTGGATATCAATCACACGGATTGTCACTTCGCTTAATTGTAGTATTTTCAGATAAAATGTACTCTACCAATAGCATTTTTACTTAACAGTAACTCTTTCCATATCAGCTTTCTAAATTAATTTTTATGTTGCCATTGTCGAATAGATGCTATTAGCATCTCTCAGATCCATTGGAGCATTTTTCCCGTAAGTCGGTACACTTGGCAACGCCGCATAACTTCGCCAACCGTTTCTTAACCGGCCGGCATCCCCACTACGCATTCCGATTGGCCAACGTCCATGATCGGCGCCAAATGCGGGTAAAGATAATTATTTCAAAATATGTGTAGCTGGTTGAGGTATGTCTGAGCGCAAATGCTGCTTTTTGAAATCAGCAGACCACCTGTTGCTGGGAATGTGGGAAGGAGAAGTAATTTCGGGAGTTAACGTCCTATAATCATGGGAAGTTACTGGATGATTGAGAACACAAGTTCACGTAAACATATGCAGGTTCGGAAAGGCCGTAAAACGTTTCCGTGTTTGATATAAGGACATTCTACAGTGTTTGGATGAACTAATTCAGAACATAAAAGTTGAGCGTTTTCAAACGGAAAGATTTCAAAATGTAAACATGTTTCGTGACAACTTAAAACTTGTTATAGGGAGCATTTTGTTCTGAAATGATGAGTACTATTATTATGTAGTGGCAACAGTTTTGATTTTTGACGATAGTACCTAGCTGGTGTTTTATGATTTTTAGAAATGTTTGACCACAATTTGCGCTGACAATATGATCCCTATTGCTTGATCCAGAATTGTTTGACAATACTGATTGTGCACAGTGGTCTGGAACACCGAAAAACTGACAAAAAATACAATTTACATTGCATTTCACAAATGGTTTTTTTGGTCGCTGATTTCACATCTGAAGCTAGTTCGCCTCTATGAGGGCATCTGGAGGTGACTCTAGTCATAATAAGGGTATTTTCAAAAGAGGCTATATATCTAAATCTTTAAAACCACAAAAAACGATCATTTAGCAAAATACACTTTTATTTTAACGAAGCTCAGATACATCTCATATTTCGCCAAGCAAGCTCATATGAAACAATACGCTTTACAAGCCAGTAATACTTAGTGCAAACGACGCTACAGCCATCAGAGTCACAAGTTGAAACCACGACATCTGCTTCAGTCCTTTCACTCCTGACTTGGTGGTTGTTCCAGGAGGTGATACGGCGGGTGGCTCTGGCGCGGCACCTGCGCCTGGCGCTGCAGCTGCCCCCGGCGCGGCTCCTGCCCCTGGTGCGGCCGCTGCCGCGGGAGCGGGGGCGTCGCCTGCCCCCACTGCTGTCGGTCCAGTCATCAACAACACCGCCAATGTTAGTACTGCCAGCACGATGACTCTTAACGGAATCTTCATATCTTTTACTTGTGTGCGGAGGTTCGTAATTTCAGACGAAAAGTATTTCAAAATATAATCATACGAAAGAAAAACTACTGCGGACTTTTGACAAATATCACAATAATATGATATTACGTTGAAGGATGTTGTTACAGTTTTCCATGACTACTGAAACAGCCTACTACACTGAGAACACTAGGGGTAGTGTGGCGTAGCTTCGTCTCAGAATTTTTCGGCAGGATTAATACGTAAAAAACTATATAATGTCAAAAAGTCAATTTGCTGACCAGATAGTTCCTAGTGTGCAAATAGTACATTCCGCCATCTGTACAAAAAACCACAACAAAATACGGCTCTGTCTACCTGGCGTTGACGGATCCTTCAGAATTGCCTGTCAATTGTCAAAATGGGGAATTTTGAAAAAAACTAGATAATCTGTAACTCTACCATAACGGATACTCGTAAAAAGGACAATATTTCATTTTTTATGCTATAAGTTTGTCAAGAAGATTTGAAAATGACTATGTTGTTTGTACTTTTAATAAAAAAAAAATTGGGTGTCCTGGGAGTATCCGGGGTTTTATCCACAGGGAGCTGTTACTTATAGTTAAAAAGAATTATTTAAAATGAATTAAGCGTAAAATATACTACAAGGTTTTGAGGGGTGGATAACTCGCTCGCTCGCTAACCTGATTTATGTTAAAGGCCACCCGGCACTTGAATGCGAGGTTTTCGCAAAAATACACAAAATACGTTTGATGCAATACATTTATTTTAACAAAGCTAAGGTATAACATCTCATATTTGGACAAGTAATTCTCATAATATAAAACTCTCACGCTTTGGACGCCAGTAGTAATGCCATTGACATGCCAGTGAATGTCAGCAGATGATACCAAGGCGTAAGCACGAGACGATCTGCACCGGACTTGGTGGTCGTTCCAGGAGGTGGTGTTGCGGCAGGTGCTTCTGGAGCGGCTCCTGCCCCTGGTGCTCCAGCTGCCGCTGGCGCGGCTGCTGCCCCTGGTGCGGCTGCTGCTGCGGGAGCGTCGCCTGTCGCTACTGATAGCACTGCGAATGTCACTACGGCCAAAACGAGTACTCTCACGGGGATCTTCATGTTCTCGTTCTTTCTATACTTCTTTTATTTCCAAATTTCGGTAAAGAGACTGTATAAATGAAAAATTACTGCGAACTTTTGACTGCAGGTGACAGGATGTTATATTGATTTCCCTGACGACTGAGATCGGCAGATTTTTTGCAAATGGTTATGTACAGCGTGTTGATTGCATAGGTTGTAATAATTGCCGGAAATTCGTCATTTTATAAATAGATCACAACAGTTCTATTCTATAGTAGGCACGTAAATAAACGGGGAAAATACAATGATGTATTGAAATACCAAGTACCTACCAATGAAAATGAGCCAGAATTTGAACAGTTTGTAAAATGAAGAAATATGATTTATAATAGGTGTACTGATGAAATTGAGTTACTACTTCGATTTACGTGCAAGCACCATGATGCATTCAAATTCAAAAGGTTTCCCTATGTATTTAAAAATCGCGGTTTCTCTGGTAATGGATCAATAGGAAAAGGGGCGTGGTTGGTGTTCGGCATTGTGGAAAATGGGCGGGTGATTGTTCACTTCCTACTGTCTTATTTTGTAAATATAAGCACGCCTCTTTCCTACCGTGCATTATGTCACATGTCACTGACTTTGTGTCATTACTGTCATTGTCATTCACTGCATGACGTGTGGTGTGACATATAATGGAAAATGTTTTTATTGTGATTTTATTTTACAGATAAAACTATACGAGGAAGGTCCTATTTTTTAAATAAAAACACATTTCCATGACCTCCCAAAAAGTCTGATTAGTACCAAATTGGCTGACAACCCAGTGAAAACCGGTAATTCTTGATTCAGGATATCCAAAAAAGTAAAGGTAAGTACATCCTGATCCCTTTACCTTATTCTCACAGTTCTTGGCTTTGGAAATATATATGAAAACCTTTTATATGAGCCAAATCACTGCACATGCCATTTAGGATCACCAGTACTGAACAATAACGCCTTCATAATTTCACACGATTGACTTTTGATCCTAATAAGGCCATATCAAATATAAGCAACTTCCTCAAAAGTACGAGCGTTTTTCCTAATTTTTTTATATTACATAATATGGTACAAGCCCTCATTCGAGGTTTCTAGAACTGAGCGGATTTTTTCCCAGTAAATCTTTTGCTATATTCTTGTCTCTTATAACCGAACCAATGACAAGTAAAGAGAATCTTATAAGTACATTCATTTATATTCCAGCAGAAGAATCGTATTTTGGTCTAGATTCCAAATACGCGAGCATTATTGAATCTCCATGTCTACAAGTGTCTAGGTTTCATGTACACAAATATCTTATCAGTGGTATATACTTTAAAGTTCACAGTGCAAAATTTCCATTCTTGTTCTTAGTAGCAACAACAAATGAAATTTGGTAATTAACGATATTGAAAATTTGGAGTAGGAAAATGGGGTCTTACATTGATATCAGGGAAAAATTGATTCATAATCTATGCACCTGTATTATCCAAGGCTCTTTTTTAGATGAAATTGCAAGAATTAATGCAAATTTTGAATTTTTGTCTGCTGTTGTTACAAGTGAACTAGACCCAGTATGCCTATCCTTATTTGGAGTTCGGGTAATTCGTTGTGTGAAGCTTGTCAATGACATCAGCAAGAAATTGACATTAGACTCGTGATTAACACACATTTTTACCATCTAAATTCCATAATTTATGAGTATTGTTCTTCAGTGGCATCCATTTGAATGTACAATACACCCGATGTACTTAAATGTACCATTCTTCATATAGGGAAATGCTTAAATGAGCAGAAATATCTGAAACGCCATAAAACGAAATTTAGGCGATATTTATTTTTTTAGTTTTTTGCCCGTAAATCCGCTACCACTCCACCGATTTTCAAAAACTATAAAGTGTTTTTGTCCTTGGCATAACAGTAAGCTTGTGTTAAAATTTCATCAAAATCTGAGTGGTACTTTCCAAACAAGGCCAAAGGATTCGCAGACAGAGAGACCAACAGACAAATGAGTTACATTTTGTTTGCGATACGGGTAAATATACGATATTTGGGACTTAATGTTCCGCAAAAAAAAAATCCAAGCACATTGACAAATTGTGGACGTAAACCATACAAATAGTGTAAAATATTATTTGGAACATATGATCAAATTAAGGTATCTTGAATGGTGACATTGTCGCTTTTTTTTAACACTGTATTGGTTTGTTGCGACATTATGTAGGTTTTTCTACAAGATGTTAACTTAGCACTACCTGATGGACATGTTGTGTAGTTGTACGTGTTGCCTAAGCATCATCAGGCTTCAGTTATCAATGTTTGGCTCTGAAGGAAACAACAATGCATAGGTTCATATTGAGGATTGCTAATAATGTGTTTATAATTCCATTGGATTCTTGTTTCAAATACACTTACTTGAGTTTCAAAGCTATAAAAACACAATCACATCTTATCTATTCTGGATATTACATATGCAAATTCGCTGTACACTGTCGAATTACAAGTCATATACATGCTAACCGTAATTTCATGAAAAAAGACGCTAAACATTTGTATAAACGCATAAAAAATGCGTTTTTGTGGTCTCTGAAAATTGTGTCACCTTCACCTCCTACCTTTGTGGATCTGCACCTTAAAATACTCGATAAAACGGTTTCGGTGAGATAATGCCGATTTTTTATATATCCTTATATAGAAAATCGGATAAAACCTACACCAAGTCGTGCGTAACCTCAAATGCACTATCACGCATCAAGCCATCAAGTGATTCATTTCACGGATTGCTAGATGAATAAACAAAAACCTGAGATGAATTCAAGTTTGAAAGATGCACTTGCAAAATTTCGCACTATTTTCTTTTTCCAAGCATCATCCACCACTTTACGTTTGTTAAACCTGTTGGTGAAATCGGAATGTTTATGTTTACCATCCGAGGTTATGGTTAGTTTTTTGCGAGCATATGACTTGTCAAAAATTGAAGCAGGTGATAACGGCAATTGATCAAGAGATAGCGCCGCATCGTATGAAACTCTCGCAAAGCCCATAAAATTCAATGTGGTCGATTTAGATGGGCACGATAGCAGACGATCGTCACCGATTAGGATCGTCATTCGTCATTTGGTGGTGGCGCCTAGCCAAATGTCGGATGACGAGGAGTTGTTTTGCTGGTCAACTTTGACCGGTGTTCTCTCCATCCAAAAAAAGAAACGTTTTAATCCAAACATAATATTCTCTTTCAGCAATCAGCATGAGTAGTTAAGTAGAATAGTGGGTTGTAGTTAGTGGTGGGGCCCCCAATAAAACAAATACAGTTCCTTGGTTCAGGCCACAGCAAGTGGCGATCCAGGACCGGTTTAAGGCACGCATGTTGCTTTAATGCGAATTAGCCAAAGTGCGATTTGTCGATTTCGCTTATTTAGTGCATAAGAGAATTTTTAGTGCATAAGAGAATTGGTTTCACAGGAAACGCGTACTCACAGATCGAAAGTTATTTGTCAAATCGCCCACAATCTGTACAGATTCAGGATCATTTAGTAAAGAAATGTATATTAAGTGTGGTGTCCCACAAGGAACTGTCTTAGGTCCGCTGTTATTCAATATATATTTAAATGATATTTTCCAAATTAATTGTGTCGGCAAAATAACTAGTTTTGCAGATGATACTGCAATATTATATGAAGGCACTGACTGGTCTGATCTGAAAAATGTAATTGAAAATGATTTTATCAAAATTATTCGGTGGTTTAACAGTAGAAAATTAAGCATTAACTACTCTAAAACACATTTTTTACCATTTGGATCTTATGCTAGACATCTGCCAAATTACACAAATTTCTCCTTCAATATTAATGATCAAAAAATGCAAATTAATAGAGTGCCCAACATAAAATACCTTGGAGTAGTCTTGGATCCTCACTTACGATGGGACATCCATGTCAATTATATTTTAAAGAAAGTTAGATTTGTATCCTACAAAATTAAATACCTTGGGAATATATTGACAGAAAAATATCTTCGAACATTATACCATGCACTGATTGAGCCTCATCTCACATATGGTATATTAGCATGGGGAGCTGCATGTTTCTCACATATCTATAATTTAGATGTTTTTCAAAGAAGTATTCTAAAAATGATATTTAAAAAACCGAAACTTTATCCCACTGAAAAATTATACGCAGATGTTCGAATGTATGATATAAGACAGCTTTATTTCTTACACAGTATCACTCACTACCATAAATTTGTAAACACCGACCAAAAAATTAAAAATAATCATTATACCAGGTACAAAATTCGTGGCACAGTAGTTCCTCAACCGCATAAATCTATAATGCAGCGATCATATCTCTATTTAGCGCCTAAATTTTATGAAATTATACCTAAAGAAATTTAAAAAAGTGGCTACATCTATATCTAGGACTGAAATTCATAAACTCATAAATACGAACATCAACTAAATACATAATCTACTGTAGCTAATTTTTGTCCTTTTTTGTCATTTGCATTCTACAGTTTCAACTTAAATTTATTGGTCCATGTACAGGCGATGCCTTCTATTGGGCCTGTTTTGATTTTATATTTATTTACTCATATTGTTTGTTATCTTTGTACATTGAGTGAATAAATATTATTATTATTATTATAAACATTATTATAGCAGTGTTGATTTTGTTTTTACTTCTTAGCGCGGAACGGTCTCCTATGCTCAGTAAAATGTAAGCAACAGAAAGCTTGTGAAGTTCCAATTTAGGGGTAGACTGGGCTCCTTGAGCTGCGGCGAAGGCAGCCGATCTAGTAGCGCTGACGCTAGTTGTTCACTTTTACCAGTACTCCCCATATTTACCCTGGAAAATGTGTGAATTTTATGGGACCTTACTGCAACTATGTGAAAAACAATGATTCTTGAATACAAAAGTCATGAATCACATATAATAATTAAAAGACTTGAGTCATTAGGGTACCTACCTGCTAAATACTCATAAATGATTGAAATTGTTACCCATTTTTCCCAAAACCAAACAGGTAGGTGTTTTGGGGAAGGTGTTCTCAGGGTATTGACAAGTAATTTCCTTGTCTGTTACTAATCCTAGGTACTAAGCACTATAGCAGGTATAATTAATTATAGCAGGTATATTATAATAAAGAAATTCTACTCCTATGAATCACTGCAGAATTTGGCCTGATCTGATGATTACTCTCTTTCATTTTGAACTATAATTCTTGGGCTTGTATCCAGACATAGGATTAAACTCTAAAGACCACTGTGTAGATATTGATTCAAAGATAAACTCATATCTCACAGGAAATTCTTACTGAAGCACAGCTAGTTTCTGTTTACTATGCTTCTGGAGTTCGTCCACAAATGTTTTTGGTCCAGAATATACTTTTAATAACAAAAATAAGTTTTTGAACAATCTTAATTCGTACTCGACCAGAAAAGCTGGAGACTTGAATGTTTGTTCCGTCAAGTATAAGGTAGGCGTCAGATTTTGGAAAATGTTAGATCCACGAATTTTCAATAGGCCACACAATCACATTAAAGATTGTGGAGGAATAAATAATTTGTTTTATACATATATTTATTTTGTGTTGTTTTTTTAGTGTTTATTATGACGAATCATATAGAAAGATTGTCTCTCAGGATTATAAAGAATTTGAATTAATTGTCAACAAGAAATTTCAGTATTTACACAGATAAGTTGTTATTGTTTTTAACTTTTAAAAGGCACCGCATGTGAGTTTTCTTGGACATCTATTGCAAATGGTTCCATATGAAGTAGCTTCTAACACCCTACACCCTAATTTTACACCACAAAGTGGGCTAATGGATTGTGTATTGCTGATTAACCTTCTATATTGTGATATTCAGAGAACAACTAACAATTGAGCATACATTATAAAACCATTGGATTTCCCCGGCAATGGATGCAGGTACCTGCCATAAAATCTTAGGGATTAACAATTGGTTTTCTCATGAAATGTTCATTATCAACCCTTACCTTACCTCATATCGAAATAGCACTTTGAAGGTGAAGATTGTTTATCAGTTGTTGCTGGCTCGCCGTACATCTCGGCTCGTTGGAATTGTTTGTGGTATCTATTGAATTTTCATGGCATCAAGTTCTGATCGAAGTGCGTTTAGGGGCCTTTCGGACTCCATCGGTGAGATAAGCTTGGTAAGTCGTTCTTATTTGATAAATAACCACGATTCATTGAAAAAATTCTGGGCTTTTGAAAAATTATTGTTTTTTGTGTATATACACTATGAAACGCGCGCTAGGGGCTGAAAAACAATCTTCTGTGTTCCGTGGTACATTTAGGGGCTGCTAGAGTAGCATAATTTTACGAGTTAAAAAGACCCTGGACCTGACAATAACGAGCGTATTTTCGATGTGTTTACCATTCAAATTAAGGCAGGGGATATTCATTACAAGAGACATAAAGTATAGGGGTCTCATCTGGGGTTCAGTTTAAAACTGCAGTTATCATTATTTTTGCAACATTTTGATTTTTTCGGTAAAGAATTATATAACTTGATTGCATTAAAATGACCGGCGCTCGATGTATAGGATTTCGGTATTGTTAATTAACACAACACTTGTATATGTAGTGACGAAAATCCTCATGCTTACGTACAATATCGCCACCAGGAACAATTTTTTTTAATGTGTGGATGGGTATTGTTGACGACCATTTAATTGGTCCTTTCTTTTTACCCTTAAGATTAAACGGCGAATCTTACTTACTAGTTTCTTCAAGAAGAATTGGCCATACGGCTACAAGAAGTCTCTCTAAATGTACCTAATCATCTTCATTTTAATGTACCTGTCAGAATTCATCTGAATAACACTTTTGAGAGGTGGAAGAATTCACTGGCCACCTCGCTCCCCTGATTTGAATCCAATAGATTTTTCTTTATGAGGACACGTTAAGAGGATGGTCTACGTTACTCCCATACAAAAAATAGAAGAATTAAGAAATAAAATCGTGAACGCTTGCGAAGAAATAAGAAATAAACCTCGAATCTTAGCTAGAGTTTGTCGTTCAATGATTCGTCTAGAGAGAATGTGTACGGAAATGGATGGTGGACATTTCCTGCATTTGTTGTTGTATACTTTGTGTCATGGTACTTATTGGAAAAGTTGCACACTCTTATCTATTTTGTCCAATGAGGTGCAATACAACGGTTTTATTTTTTTTTTCTCGAAAACGAAGTGAGATACGTAAAAAATACAAGGGGAAAAGAAGTTGTATTTTTAGATGCTTAATCGAACAACAAATATTAAAGTTGCAAAAGGCTGTGGCGTACGTTTTGTTGACATTAATATTCGCTAAGGGACACCACTGCCAAATTTCAACAGAATCGACTGAATATCTATTAAGATATTAAAACATTTTTTCACCCTGTATATTGAAAACCCCCCATTTCCAGACCCATGTTGTATAGAAACTTTTTTCCATATTTTTTAACAAAGAATCACCCCCCAACTAGCAAAGTAGTTTTATAAGCTTTTGGTAAAATAACCGATCAGCCATAAAAGCTCTCTATTGTTGTTGCCTGAACACCAAAATGCTGGCTTAATGTTGTGTGGAATGCAAATTTGCTTTCTGCAACATATTTGATCTAAAGTGAGGTGTTTAAAATATTCTTATAGTATAGTTATACAACACCTTATAGGGCAAATTTTTAACTGTTGCATAAACGTTTATACAACTATTTTATACGGCATATTTGCACGTTAGTCAAAATGGTTGTGTTGTGGCATCCATGGTAACGTTTATATAACAAACCCGAGCCTTGTTGTTTTGCTGTGCAATTTACTACTTTAGCCAACAAATTGCTCCCAACGGAAGCGCTTATACAACTGTTAAAGGCTGTGTGTACATATGCTAAATATGTTGGTATACAACTTCACCATAACCTAACTTTTTGCTGTCATATTTTTATTAAAATGCCATAGCCAATGTTTTAAGACAAACAACGCATGCATATTGGTTCAAAATGTTTTATCAACTGTTCAAACAGAAGATATACTTAGATCTGGTACAAATTCTGGGTAAGTCATTCGACTCTGTCGGTATTTCATTTCTGACATTTGTCAAATTGTTGTATAACACCTGCAGGCAACACCAAGATATTCTAATAACCTAAAGACAACATGGATGATGCCATGATTATACACAACCACCCGCCATATTGGGCAAACATTAATTCCTCTATTTAATATTAAATAATTATGTTTCAGTTCGAAATTACAGATATAAAGTGATAAACATTAGTGTAATTGTGTCTAAATATAGGATTTGTGGAAGATTTAACGCAGATAAGTTCAGTTGTCCATCTTAAAAATCTAGACATACTTTTGATCATTATCAAAATATAAATCAAATACGAAGCCCCTAGAAATTGCGTAACTAATTTGCACGATAATCACAATAAAATTTGCTGCGCAAGTAATTCAATAGCCGTATATCACTGTGTAGAAGTTTATCATATACCTGTGTATGAAATTCACAATGGCCGATATGTAAGCAAACAAGATGACTGTAATGTGTTAGTTATATATTCTTCTTCGTCTATACAATACATAAGAAATAGTTTGGTTGCAATAAAGTAGAATCACGTAACATAACAGTTGCGTAGTTGACAAAAACTGAATCTTGCACTGACGCAAATGTCCTATAGCCGCTGCAAGAGGCTTACGTTCTAAGAGGGTTTTGCCAAATGTTCTTACAGCATATAATGCTGTTTAAGGAATACTGTATAATCATTCTTGCAACTCTAATAGGAGTGATAATTGTTAGTTGGGCCCTATAAAACATCTCCGTCTATTTTTCGAACATCCTATGTAAAAAAAGAACGGAATATCCATTTATCGATTTCTTTTCGATTTCAGATAGACACCGTGTGGGGCTGGGCGTCCCCGCCCTTGCGTCTGCAAATCGCGCCGCAGCTGCGCGGCGCTTGCCGTATGGGCGGCGATATGACCGGGGGCGGCGGCGACCGCCCCCCCTCGCCCGCGCGCCTCTCGCACTCTTCGGAGAAACACCCGAAAAACACCCTCACCGAACTGAATTTGCTGCGAAGGCACAGGGAACTGTGCGACGTGATACTCAACGTCGGCACCAGGAAGATATTCGCGCATAGGGTCATATTGAGCGCGTGTAGCCCGTACTTCAGAGCCATGTTCACCGGGGAGTTGGCTGAGTCTAGGCAGACTGAGGTGAGGAGCGCGATTTCTAATATTCCAGGAAGTAGATAGATAGATAGTAGATTTATTGTCCAACAGTGGCCCATTAACAGGACAATGTTATACAAAAGATACAGAACAAAGTATATAACAAACTTTAAGATTCGATAGAACTTTTAAAATTAATGCATAAAGTCTATATAAACATGGGTCGAAAAATGCGTGGCTTCCGAAATACAGAGTGTTTAAATTTACTTTCTAAAATAGTTTTTTTTTAAATATTTCGAACAATATTTGATGTATAACAGTGAAAACTGGTATACAAGGTTTTTTTGGTACGAAGAAACGAACCATGGACATAGTTTTACTGTAGCCGCTAGAGGGCGCTCTCTACTGTACCTGTAGTGTATTAAAATGACCGAAAAAAAATTTCTTAGTGCAATTTTTTGCTTTTTGAATAAAAAAACTGATTCTTCGCACTTTTCAACATAAAAAAGCTCTCTTGTGAATTTTCGTTATAGTTAGCCGTTTTTGAGATATTTCGATTTTTAAGGTTCGATGCATTTTTAATTATTCATGATGAAATAACGTTAAAAAGTCAGTATCTCGATAATTTTTAGAAGTAGGCTGTGCCTGCAAATATTTTTGAAATTGAAAGCAGAATAAGGTTAAACGTCAGTTAGTTGACAGTTAGTTTTGTTGTCTGTTGAAACCTGAAACGTTTTTTTGCAATTGTGAATGCACGAAATTTAGTTTCTTTTACCTGTTTTTTTTTGTATGTTTTATAAAAATGCCATTTTTATTGTCCAATCAAGTGTTAGCGGATATTCATTTTCAAACAGATGACATCCAACTCGCTCAGTATTTGTAAGAGTGCATCGCCAAATAATTGAAAATGGTTTTGGAAATCTCCAAAGGGATCAAAACATAAGTGTTCGTCAGCGCAGATTTACCCGTATGATTCTGCGTGAGTTTAATAGAGATCCGACCACAAGTGTTAGGAGAGTTTCTGGTGCCTTAGGAATTTCAGCAAGCCCTGTTCACCGAAATGACCATAGACGTCCTTACCATTTGCAACCTGTGCAAGGACTACAGCCAGGGGACGGAGAACGAAGAATCACATTTTGTCAGTGGATTCTTGATAGAACTGATAATAATAGGGAGTTTTCAAGTAACGTTTTATGGATCGATGAGTCATGCTTCACTAGACGTGGAGTGGTAAATTTTCATAATCAGCATATTTAGTGAGAACGTGTGGATTGGTATCTACCGTAATCGACTATTTGGACCCTACCTTTTGCCTACAAGGTTAAATGCTGCGACCTTCTTGGAATTTTTAAAGGCTGAACATGCAAATATGTGGAATGATGTTATGTTAGATTTAAGAAGATTGGCCAGGTTCCAGCTTGATGGTTGTCCAGCTCATTATTCGAGAATAGTTAGAAAGTGGCTGGACGAAAATTATCCAGAAAGATGGATCGGTCGTGGAGGACCAGTCACCTGGCCTCCACGATCCCCTGACCTAAATCCATTAGATTTCTTTGTGTGAAGATTTCTAAAAGAAAAAGTGTACCAGACTCCCGTAACCACAAGAGATATGCTAATAGACAGAATCAGGAATGCATGTGATGAAATAAGGCCTTATTTGAATAACGTTCGATCATTCGTAGATGTGAATTGTGTATTGAACAATTGGGTTTACATTTCGAGCAGCTACTTTAGATTTTGTATGTTTGTCCTAACTATCCAATAGCATTTTAGTTGTAAATAGTTAATTTAATTTGTTAAAAATAATATTGGAAAATTAAACAAATTAATTTTGTTTTTTTTTTGTGTTTATTTGGAGTTAGGAATTATTGCTGTGTTTAAAAACACAATCTAAACGATCATCTTAATTACTTGTAATGCCCAAATCGGAAATGTAAAAAAAATATTGCATCGAACCTTAAAAATCGAAAACAAGGAATTTAGTTTTTCTACTAATAACGCATTTGTTTATGGAGCAATGAAGTTTGAATTCGTTTTCTAAAGGTATTTAGGTAAATATTCATATTTGTGTATATACTTTTGTCCATTACTGTATGTGAGCATAAACATCACAGTCTTAGCCTATGGCGAGCAATTGTATTTTTATTGTAAACCTTTGCGTTTTAACCGTTAAACAAGTGCTCGATCACGCTGAATGTACATTGAACGATTGATTAACAATTAACAAAGGTTTACAATAAAAATACCACCTAAAATGCTTTGGGCTTTTGTTGAAGGCTGTTTTAAGAATATTAAGGAACTTTGGCAACATTGCAATTTTCGTGTTTTTTGTACTGTTTTTCGGAATCGTAAATGGCGTATTTTGCACTTTCTCAAGTATCAAATCGCTTAGATTTCGAAAACTATCAACTTTGGAGAAAAAATGAGTGTCTTTTTATACAGAATAACTTAAAACAAAAAAAAAAAATCTGTCTGAAGATAAGAGCAATTGTCGGTACATGGCATGTAAAATTAATTTGTAATCTAAAAAGAATGCGTGCTGCCTCATTTTTATTTTCAAAATGCTTGGAATTTCTGCTGATAGCGCTTAGTAACGGTATTGTTCTGAACATAATTCGAAATTTTCTAACGATATTTTTTATCTGCACTAGTTTGTATATATCAAACGTTCCTTTTTTCTTAAGCATAGCTCGTTGTTTGATTCAGGTAACGATTCGTGATATCGACGAATTAGCGATGGACCTGCTGATCGATTTCTGCTACACCTCTCACATCGTAGTAGAAGAATCTAACGTGCAGATGCTTTTGCCTGCCGCTTGTCTTCTGCAATTGACAGAGATCCAGGACATTTGCTGCGAGTTCCTTAAACGACAGCTCGACCCCTCGAACTGCCTCGGAATCAGGGCGTTTGCTGATACGCATTCGTGCAGGGAACTGTTGAGGATCGCAGATAAGTAAGTACTATGTCCGATAACTACTTAGCCTACAAAAGAAAAACGAAAAAGTGTCGACTTGTGATGCCGCGGCAGCATTTTGTAAAGACTCCCCCCCCCCCGTAAATAATGTCATGTCCACAAGTTCAGCATTTTCGTAAACATGTGCAATTTTTTTATTTCGTTTGAGCCGCGCAACAAACACCACTATTCACTCACGCGTTACCGACTGACACATTGACTGAATAAAATTGTAGTAAAACACTTGGTGATAAGCGTTTCAAATTCTTTCGCTTTTTTGTTTCCGATGCGATGAACCGATAAGGCGGATTATATCCGTTGTTGCCAAACACGAGCACATAATATTATTATTGAGACAGGGCGGTACTCAAACTTCTAAAGGGCTATAACTTTGTTACTTTAATTTTACCACAAAAATGTTAAAGGAAAAAACATTTCTTTTGATCAGATCTACTCACTGTTAAAATAAATGACTCAACTTCGAAGTCACCCTGTATATTCTTTCTCATCTATATTTCTCCTCCAGTCTCCCACCACCATTTGGATTGCCGTTCAGCATTTTCGTAAACATGTGCAATTTTTTATTTCGTTTGAGCCGCGCAACAAACACCACTATTCACTCACGCGTTACCGACTGAATACAACTGAATAAAATTGTAGTAAAAACATCGTGATAAGCGTTTCAAATTCTTTCGCTTTTTTGTTTCCGATACGATGAACCGATAAGGCGGATTATATCCGTTGTTGCCAAACACGAGCACATAATATTATTATTGAGACAGGGCGGTACTCAAACTTCTAAAGGGCTATAACTTTGTTACTTTAATTTTACCAGAAAAATGTTAAAGGAAAAAAACAGTTCTTTTGATCATATCTACTTACTGTTAAAATAAATGACTCAACTTCGAATATTCTTTGTCATCTATATTTCTCCTCCAGTCTCCCACCACCATTTGGATTGCCGTTTCTGCGGAACATTTTTTTCTAAATCCAGCTTTTTATCAAAATTTTGGTTTCTTCAATGAATTCTTTCATTTGTGCGTGTATTATCGGGCAAGATATTAATCGGTAGCATATTTGTATACAGCTGAGAATTTTGAACTTTTGGCACAGGAGTAACTTTAACTTTGATGGGAATTCACTTATCGGACCGCTCTCGTATATTACTAGACTGTACCGTTTGCGTTCTCTATCTCTTCTAGGTTTACCCAGCACAATTTTCAGGAGGTGATGGAATCGGAGGAGTTTCTATTGCTCCCGGTGGGACAGTTGGTGGATATCATCGCAAGTGATGAACTGAACGTGCGTACCGAGGAACAAGTTTTCAATGCAGTCATGTCTTGGGTCAAATATAACGTCGGGGAGAGGCGTCAGCATCTACCCCAGGTCCTACAGCATGTCAGGTAGATATCAGTTTTTTCAAACCTCATCTTATTCTACAGAATATACAGGGTGTTTCATAACTGAACATATTTAAATTACAGGTGGAACTTATATCATGATTTATTGAGATAATCTCTTCTGGAATACCTATTTGATAGTTATATTACTATTGGAATTTTGTAAATGGAAATCTATATTTTCTTTTGTATAATAATTGTTCGATTCTATGTAGTGTTCTACAGTAGCGAACAAAAGTTTGGAAACATTCTTAGTAATTTTTAAAAAGTGTGCTAATTTTTTATTCTTTATTATTAAGGTCTATTTTTTTCTCATATAGTTTGTTTACAGTCTTGAGGATACACATGACAATTTGTGTTTGTTGTCGTACTACATACTAGCATTAAAATACCTTCATATCATTTAATATTTGCCGCACGCAATATCAGAGTAACGAATAAATACGGCAAAATATTTCCATACTTTTATCGTTACAAAAACTGTGGCACTTAAAAAAACGCGCTGTAAATGTTGGAGCGAAAGATGATTTTCCAGTTTAAATATCAAAATGGAATGATATATTTTTTTTCATAATCAACCACTGCAATTCTTGTAACATATGTCAAACGCCCTTTTGAAGGCCAAAAGCACTGTCTCTGTATGTTTTCTATTGTACTTCATCTGTATTGCTGTTTCAGCTGAGTGTTTCTTTCTAAATCCAGCTTGAAATTTGGTCAAAATTCTATTTTCCTCGATGATTTGTTCGTAAATAATCTGTTCAAATCAACATCAGCCAAAACATTTATTAACCGCATATTGGGATACGACTCAGAATTTCTAATTTTCGAAGCAGGAGTTATTATAGAACACTTCAATTTTGTTGTAAATTCGCCATATTTTAAAAAGCTATTTATCAGGATTAATATTCTCGCTCCAATAATATCAAAATACTCGTTAAGCACACTTTTTGACAATTTTACATTTGGAGGTTTTGAAAAGTCAATGTTTGTTGAAAATCTAAAAATGTACAACAGTCCGCCTATTAACGTAAAAACATCTATTTAGTTATGGTAACATTTTCAAAAACAGACTTCGGTTAGACTATTTCGGTTTGATGTGACGACGACTTTGTAAATTTAACATATTTTTTATTTATTTACTATTTTATTTTTCTATTCTACTCTTCTATTTATTAATGTTTATCGTTCGAAGCGCACAGAATGTTCCATTATAATCTGATAACGACGCGGCGTTGCGTGGGAAATGCAGAGTCAACCTACTTGACGCCCATTTTTTTCCTAGATTGCCGTTGCTGAGCCCGAAATTTCTTGTCGGCACAGTCGGGTCGGACCTACTTGTTAGGTCTGATGAGTCTTGCAGAGACCTAGTTGATGAGGCCAAGAACTACCTTCTATTGCCGCAAGAAAGACCGTTGATGCAGGGACCCAGAACGCGACCTAGGAAACCTACTAGAAGAGGTAAGATTGAAGAAAATGTACAGTTAAATTCAGATACGACTTCCGCTGTCTTCAAAAAATCAACAGTTTACGCTTTTTTTGTATTCTCGTCATTGGTTATTAAAGCGTGTTTTTTTAGACTATTATTTATTTTTGGGTTTGTAATATGTTTGCAGGTGAAGTTCTCTTTGCCGTGGGCGGTTGGTGTAGCGGTGATGCGATAGCTTCCGTGGAGAAATTCGATCCGCAGACTATGGAGTGGAAAATGGTCGCTCCGATGAGCAAACGAAGATGCGGAGTTGGAGTGGCCGTGCTCAATGATCTCTTGTACGCCGTAGGCGGACACGACGGACAAAGCTATCTCAACAGTATAGAAAGGTAAGCGAAACTATTCCAAAAATAATTCGTTGGAAATGTTTTCAACTATATGTGAATGTGAGTGTTGAGATTTTTTATTTGAGCAAAATGGTAGTGCTGATAAAGTAAATTATTACAACGTTTTTCTTATTTGGAATGAATTATTTTATAGCAGTTCTTAAAAATATCGAATTTTATTTTTACAACAAAACACTTCTCTTGGTCTAATAATTTTATGGCAGCAAATCATACTCTACTCTCCATCACGTTTTTTATAATTTCTGTCGACCGTAAATACGAGAGCTGAAGGTGACTTGTGTAGGAATTCAGCGGCCCACAACCCGATTTAGTGAATAAATTTCACACGCGGTGCAGCGGGCTATCGGGTTGTGGAGATTTTAATAGAGTTTTCTATTGCTCGTCCTAAAAGGCAACCAAATGGCATGTCGAGGGATATTACGTCACTACGAATACGACGTTTAAATGAACGTCAATATTACAGTTTTAAATATGTAATTAAAAATGAATACAGAGGTTTCCATATTTGAAGTATGTATTTACGGTATAATATTAACGTAAATAATCGACGGAATATACAAAAAAAGATGTAGGATTGCTTTTAGTCATATATGTAATAGTTCGTTTTTGCAGAATAAGTACGTAACAGGCACACCAATGGACTTTCAAGTAAGGGAAAGTAACTTCTTAAGGATGTGATTTTCGTTACATTGAAATTAATTATTCTTATATTAGAGGAAATATTTTCTAGTTGGGTAAGCAAATAGTAAAATATAATTTATGATCAGCCCCAAAAATTTGATGTCTGTTTTGTGTATCAATTCATTATTTGAATTCATAAAATCGAGGGTGCACTTGAATGTCTCATTGAAATTAAAGGTCAAGTAATTGTTGTCACGACATTTTTTGCAAAAACTACGAATTTACCATTCATGTTTAAGATTATTAAACCGTTGATATATACTAAGAATAGGATCGGACCTAATACTGATCCTTGAGGTACCCCCGCGTTTAAATTTAATTACATTAATGTCCGTAAATTTCTTATCTATATTTATATGATTTAGATTTGTTAACGAATCATCGCTGTTTTTTATAAGACAATTTCGTGTATTTCATAGCAGTTCTTAAAAATATCGAATTTTATTTTTACAACAAAACACTTCTCTTGGTCTAATAATTTTATGGTAGAAAATCATACTCTACTCTCCGTCACGTTAAAGGTCGTTTTTTATAATTTCTGTCGACCGTAAATACGAGAGCTGAAGGTGACTCGTGTAGGAATTCAGCGGCCCACAACCCGATTTAGTGAATAAATTTCACACGCAGTGCCGCGGCTTATCGGGTTGTGGAGATTTTAATACAGTTTTCTATTGCTCGTCCTAAAAGGCAACCAAATGAAATGTCGAGGGATATTACGACACTACGAATACGACGCTTAAATGAACGTCAATATTGCAGTTTTAAATATGTAATTAAAAATGAATACAGAGATTTCCATATTTGAAGTATGTATTTACGGTATAATATTAACGTAAATAATCGACAGAATATACAAAAAAAGATGTAGGATTGCTTTTAGTCATATATGTAATAGTTCGTTTTTGCAGAATAAGTACTTTTTTTAAACAATTTTGGTAACAGGCACACCAATCTACTTTCAAGTAAGGGAAAGTCACCTCTTAAGGATGTGATTTTCGCTACATCGTAATTAATTATTCTTATATTAGAGGAAATATTTTCTAGTTGGGTAAGCAAATAGTAAAATATAATTTATGATCAGCCCCAAAAATTTGATGTCTGTTTTGTGTATCAATTCATTATTTGAATTCATAAAATCGAGGGTGCACTTGAATGTCTCATTGAAATTAAAAGTCAAGTAATTGTTGTCACGACATTTTTTGCAAAAACTACGAATTTACCATTCATGTTTAAGATTATTAAACCGTTGATATAGACTAAGAATAGGATCGGACCTAATACTGATCCTTGAGGTACCCCCGCGTTTAAATTTAATTACATTAATGTCCGTAAATTTCTTATCTATATTTATATGATTTAGATTTGTTAACGAATCATCGCTGTTTTTTATAAGACAATTTCGTGTATTTCATAGCAGTTCTTAAAAATATCGAATTTTATTTTTACAACAAAACACTTCTCTTGGTCTAATAATTTTATGGTAGAAAATCATACTCTACTCTCCATCACGTTAAAGGTCGTTTTTTATAATTTCTGTCGACCGTAAATACGAGAGCTTAAGGTGACTTGTGTAGGAATTCAGCGGCCCACAACCCGATTTAGTGAATAAATTTCACACGCAGTGCAGCGGCTTATCGGGTTGTGGAGATTTTAATAGAGTTTTCTATTGCTCGTCCTAAAAGGCAACCAATTGACATGTCGAGGGATATTACGTCACTACGAATACGACGTTTAAATGAACGTCAATATTGCAGTTTTAAATATGTAATTAAAAATGAATACAGAGATTTCCATATTTGAAGTATGTATTTACGGTATAATATTAACGTAAATAATCGACGGAATATACAAAAAAAGATGTAGGATTGCTTTTAGTCATATATGTAATAGTCCGTTTTTGCAGAATAAGTACTTTTTTTAAACAATTTTGGTAACAGGCACACCAATCTACTTTCAAGTAAGGGAAGGTCACCTCTTAAGGATGTGATTTTCGCTACATTGTAATTAATTATTCTTATATTAGAGGAAATATTTTCTAGTTGGGTAAGCAAATAGTAAAATATAATTTAGGATCAGTCCCAAAAATTTGATGTATCAATTCATTATTTGAATTCACAAAATCGAGGTTGCACTTGAATGTCACATTAAAATTAAAAGGCAAGTAATTGTTGTCACAACATTTTTTGCAAAAACTACGAATTTACCATTCATGTTTAAGATTATTAAATCGTTGATATAGACTAAGAATAGGATCGGACCTAATACTGATCCTTGAGGTACCCCCGCATTTAAATTTAATTACATTAATGTCCGTAAATTTCTTATCTATATTTATATGGTTTAGATTTGTTAACGAATCATCGCTGTTTTTTATAAGACAATTTCGTGTATTTCATAGCAGTTCTTAAAAATATCGAATTTTATTTTTATAACAAAACACTTCTCTTGGTCTAATAATTTTATGGTAGAAAATCATACTCTACTCTCCATCACGTTAAAGGTCGTTTTTTATAATTTCTGTCGACCGTAAATACGAGAGCTGAAGGTGATTTGTGTAGGAATTCAGCGGCCCACAACCCGATTTAGTGAATAAATTTCACACGCAGTGCAGCGGCTTATCGGGTTGTGGAGATTTTAATAGAGTTTTCTATTGCTCGTCCTAAAAGGCAACCAAATGGCATGTCGAGGGATATTACGTCACTACGAATACGACGTTTAAATGAACGTCAATATTACAGTTTTAAATATGTAATTAAAAATGAATACAGAGATTTCCATATTTGAAGTATGTATTTACGGTATAATATTAACGTAAATAATCGACAGAATATACAAAAATAGATGTAGGATTGCTTTTAGTCATATATGTAATAGTTCGTTTTTGCAGAATAAGTACTTTTTTTAAACAATTTTGGTAACAGGCACACCAATCTACTTTCAAGTAAGGGAAGGTCACCTCTTAAGGATGTGATTTTCGCTACATTGTAATTAATTATTCTTATATTAGAGGAAATATTTTCTAGTTGGGTAAGTAAATAGTAAAATATAATTTAGGATCAGTCCCAAAAATTTGATGTATCAATTCATTATTTGAATTCATAAAATCGAGGTTGCACTTGAATGTCTCATTAAAATTAAAAGACAAGTAATTGTTGTCACGACATTTTTTGCAAAAACTACGAATTTACCATTCATGTTTAAGATTATTAAACCGTTGATATAGACTAAGAATAGGATCGGACCTAATACTGATCCTTGAGGTACCCCCGCGTTTAAATTTAATTACATTAATGTCCGTAAATTTCTTATCTATATTTATATGGTTTAGATTTGTTAACGAATCATCGCTGTTTTTTATAAGACAATTTCGTGTATTTCATAGCAGTTCTTAAAAATATCGAATTTTATTTTTACAACAAAACACTTCTCTCGGTCTAATAATTTTATGGCAGCAAATCATACTCTACTCTCCATCACGTTTTTTATAATTTCTGTCGACCGTAAATACGAGAGCTGAAGGTGACTTGTGTAGGAATTCAGCGGCCCACAACCCGATTTAGTGAATAAATTTCACACGCAGTACAGCGGCTTTTCGGGTTGTGGAGATTTTAATAGAATTTTCTATTGCTTGTCCTAAAAGGCAACCAAATGACATGTCGAGGGATATTACGACACTACGAATACGACGTTTAAATGAACGTCAATATTGCAGTTTTAAATATGTAATTAAAAATGAATACAGAGATTTCCATATTTGAAGTATGTATTTACGGTATAATATTAACGTAGATAATCGACAGAATATACAAAAAAAGATGTAGGGATTGCTTTTAGTCATATATGTAATAGTTCGTTTTTGCAGAATAAGTACTTTTTTAAACAATTTTGGTAACAGGCACACCGATCTACTTTCAAGTAAGGGAAAGTCACCTCTTAAGGATGTGATTTTCGCTACATTGTAATTAATTATTCTTATATTAGAGGAAATATTTTCTAGTTGGGTAAGTAAATAGTAAAATATAATTTAGGATCAGTCCCAAAAATTTGATGTATCAATTCATTATTTAAATTCATAAAATCGAGGTTGCACTTGAATGTCTCATTAAAATTAAAAGACAAGTAATTGTTGTCACGACATTTTTTGCAAAAACTACGAATTTACCATTCATGATTAAGATTATTAAACCGTTGATATAGACTAAGAATAGGATCGGACCTAATACTGATCCTTGAGGTACCCCCGCGTTTAAATTTAATTACATTAATGTCCGTAAAGTTCTCATCTATATTTATATGGTTTAGATTTGTTAACGAATCATCGCTTTTTTTTATAAGACAATTTCGTGTTGATACCGAGGAACTTCTAACCGAACCATTGCAGGTACGATCCTCAGACTGATCAGTGGTCGTGCGATGTTGCCCCAACTACATCTTGCAGGACAAGCGTTGGAGTTGCAGTATTGGATAATCTTCTTTACGCGGTTGGCGGTCAAGATGGCGTCCAATGTCTGAATCACGTAGAAAGGTAAATTGAATGAATTCAGCAAATCACCATTCTTTTTTTGTTCGTTTTGTCAGAGGGCATTTACAATGCTTTGTTGACAACATCGTTTATTATGGAGTGCCGTGACTACGTTTGGCTAGTATCAATTTTTTTGTTTGTAGTAAGTATAATGTTTTTTTTTTCATAGGTATGATCCAAAAGAAAATAAATGGGGCAAGGTGGCGCCCATGACAACCAGACGCTTGGGAGTGGCTGTGGCGGTTCTAGGCGGATACCTTTATGCAATCGGCGGTTCCGATGGACAATCGCCACTTAATACAGTTGAAAGGTACAATTACTTTTGAAAATATTAGAGATTTTTTTTTGGGAGTCAGTTTATGGTACTTGACCTTTTTGGGGGTATTCTAATAAAGTCTGTAGGGCATCTAATACTATTTACAACAAATGTGGTTTAAATCTTGAAATATTCGTTTCGGTAAACTTTAACTTCTCTTCTTTTGTCTTTACTCAGTAAGCGTGTGCCTTAAATTTCATCATCAAAACAGGACTGCATTATCTGGCATGATCACACCACATGTACATGGTTGGGACTTCGTTTTCAGAAACAACTACTTTTGTAATAACAAAACTAGAGTTTGGTGAAACAATAGCGAAAAATTAGAACAAAAAAACATGAAAGAGTACTCACCGTTCATTGAAAAGAATTTCAAGTACAGCTCTGTCGTTTGTCAGCATTATCCGAAAATTCAGACGCGTAGTTCGTGAACTTCAGTTTTATACGCTAAACATTTCATTTCGCTCCAAACAAAAAAAAATCTTGAAAAACGATCTGCATGCGCTCGCGAAGCCTCGGTAGCATTTCGAATAACCTCACCGTGATAGTTCACACACGTAGTTCGTCAAACGTGTTCACTTCAGTTTTACGCTAAACAGTTCATTTCGCACCAAACAAAAAAAGGATCTTGAAAAAACGATCTGCAAGCGCTCGCGAAGCCTCGGTAGCATTTCGAATAATCTCGGCGTGATATTTCACACACGTAGTTCGTTAACTGTGTTCACTTCAGTTTGATACGCTAAACATTTAAGTTCGTCCCAGACAAAAAAAAGAATCTTGAAAAACGTACTGCATGCACTCGCGAAGCCTCGGTAGCATAGCCAAGACACTCATCATGATATTTCACACAGGTAGTTCGTCAGCCGTGTTCACTTCAGTTTTATAAACATTTAATTTCGCCCCAAACAAAAAAAGGATATTGAAAAAACGATCTGCATGCGCTCGCGAAGCCTCGGTAGCATTTCGAATAATCCCGGCGTGATATTTCACACACGTAGTTCGTCAGCCGTGTTTACTTCAGTTTTTACGCTAAACAGTTCATTTCGCCCCAAACAAGAAAACGATCTTGAAAAACGATCTGCATGCACACGCGAAGCCTCGGTAGCATTTCGAAGACACTCACCGCGATATTTCGTTCATTTAGATATGATCCTCGACATAACAAATGGACGCTGGTCAGCCCGATGTCGACGCGTCGGAAACACCTAGGCTGCGCGGTGTTCAACAATCTCATCTACGCCGTTGGAGGAAGAGATGATTGCATGGAGTTGAGCAGTGCCGAGCGGTACAACCCTCACACGAACACCTGGAGTCCGATCGTTGCTATGACATCCAGGCGAAGCGGGGTAAGGATTTTATTTTTCTGCCATTCTTGATAATTTATCATTATCATTGTTAGCGCTACATTAATTACTGCGTTGGTAATTTTGGTTAGTTTGCTTTCCTTTTAATAATGTTTCATGTCATTTGAACACCATACCATTTATTGATCTCATTATTTAATGCAATGCAATGTTTTCTTTTAGCAAACTTTGAGAAGTAGCGATAAATTATGCTCTTTATTTGCATTGACGATTAAATCATTTAACGTGAAGATTTGTTAGTCATAGTATTTGAAACGAACGTTTGAATCGCAGGTGGGCTTGGCCGTGGTGAACGGCCAGTTATACGCAGTAGGCGGTTTCGACGGTACCGCCTACCTGAAAACAATCGAATTCTACGATACGGAGCAGAACCAATGGCGATTGTGCGGCTCGATGAACTACAGGCGGTTGGGCGGCGGTGTGGGCGTGATGAGAGCGCCGCAAACGGAGAATCGCATCTGGTAGTTGAGGCGGTTCCTTTTCGTTTCTGCGGATCCGAACAGGCGGTACCGGATCACCAACTGTTAGGCGACGTTCTCATCGAAAGCGACGCGCACCCGGATTACGTAACTAAGAAAGTGACGTTATATCGATTTTTAATTACATTGTGTTTATCACAGAACAAGCTGCTGTGTAAGATTTTGACAGTTAAAATCGAGCTCACCTGATTTGTGGTATAAACCAATTTTTTTGATATTGTGTACACGTGGGTTCAAAATAAACACAACAAGCAAAATTTTGGTAAAATTCGGAACGTCATAATTTTTTTACTTTGACCTAGATTTTATCGATTTTTTCGGGAGGCGGTAGGTGCACTCATTAGCATTAAATTGTAGGTATGAGTTCTTGATTGTAGTCACAGTTTGACTTGTTGTACAGGGTAAATCAAAGTGGCGTTTAATTACTCCAACTTTTTGTCACTCTGTGGTGTGAATCCAGTTGCGAATCAGACTGCAATGCTTCCATTATCAAGAACTACATTTTCTCTACAATCTGACACTTTTTTTTATGTCAATATGTAAGTAGTGTGAAGTTTAGAGGCAAATGCACATTTTACCGCCAATTTTCCTTGCTCCTTCGATAACGTTTTTTAATTCTCGTACGGTTTCGAAACAGTTTTTCACCACTTATGCAGAAATCTATTCCCGTCTGCGTTAGGCCACTTTTTTTAAATCGACATGTGTTACCTTTTATCTACAGGTAGAAGGTTATTAGTAAACCATCTATAATAATTTTCATGCCATAACTGGAATCAATACCTGATTCTTTAAAAAAATCTTATAATTATAAAAATTTGAGGTTTGTTCCAACAATAATAATCATAAAAAAAAATGAATTGAATTGAATCACCCCTCCAAAAAATAGGAAAAAAAAATGAATGTGAAATCAAATGAAACTAAAGACCATTCATCCACTAACATAGGTTTTGTTGAGAAATATTAAACATTTTGAAGCCCAAAAAATTATTAACAGAGTCAAAAAAATTAAAAAAAAATGTGTTTCATGCGAGCTTTGAAGACCTCGAATTCGTCCCAACCAAAACTACAAAATCTTCAAATGCGGCTGAGATATTTAAAAAAAGAAATCTTCGTGATTCAATAAAAACAGTTTTTCAAGCACCTAAGTAAATAAAAAAAGAAGGAGCACGTTTTTTCATTCTTTACAAGACTAGGTGGATGAGACTAAAGTGGAATTACCCCTCCCCCTTAGACGCCAAACTTTTAACAAAGCAATTCAACTTTTAGGCCCGTTCGCGGAATATTACACGATTTTTTTAGTAACTAAAGAGGTACGCAGCTTGAAATGAAAAAAAAATTGCCCAACCTCAAATTCCTTATTTGAGAAATCTTCGGCCTATTTGAGACAGCCTGGCCTTAAGACGATATATTTACTTATCTCCGATGATTTTTGACGAACCAGCCGAAAACTGAACTTCATTTAGCTCAGTGGTAGTAGCAATGTTTAAACATTTTACGGCAGTTTGGCAACACCGCGTCGGTACATGCAGAGCCATCTGCGAGCGAATCGCCAAGCTCGTAGATCGATGTATTTGTAAGCGAGTAATAGTCCAAGAGCCGATCTCAAAATGTTGGTTACATCGCGAACTGATATGTTTAAGAGTTATAAATATCATGATATATGTCCTAAGAACCCTAGCTTAAAACTAGCTTTTCGCTTGATATAACTACTACTTTTAGCCGTTGTTGAGAAACTAGTCGGGTGCCGTCGCTTTGGTGAGAACGCTTGTATTTGCCGTTTGCAGTCATTTGCTTTCGTTGAGAACGGTCCTTATTTATACCTGCTGATACTTATCCTGAGATCTCTCATTTTCTAATTATTCCCACTGCCCAGGAAAAATCTCAATTGGACGAATATGCGTTTATTCGTAACGAAGTGAAAGATAAAAATGATTAATGTGAAATCTTGTTGTAGTATAAAGATTTTCATCAGCGGTAAGATCTTCCTTACGTTAAAAAAGTCTAAAGAACATAGTATTAGAAAATGTTCCTAATAATATCGCACCTAGAACTTGTAATTTCTCTTCTAACTGTATGTATATATGTGATACACTTAGATAACTTCACAATAAGTAATATAAAAAGAATTATATATGTAATTTATAAATTTAATTGTAAAAAGATTGTGATTTATATGAATATTTTTATTATGTTACGAATTGCATTTTATTTAGAATGTATTAGTGTTATATTAAAAGATTAAAATAAAATTTACACAACATATTCTATGAATTTTCATTACCTGTGAACGACCTATTATGTCAATTTTTTGATAAATTCATCTTTCAGCTGAAATCTCGTAAATTATGTAAGTGTTTCATGTGTACAGACCTTCTGTATACAAGTCTAAAAACTGTTCAGTAATGGCATTTCGGAAGTCGGAAACGTTTTAAAGAAAAGTACCGTGTCAGAATTGATCCGATGATACCAGTTACGTAAGTAAAAATGTCAATACAGCACCTGTTAGCATAGTGAAGACACACATATTTTCCCTACATCCGCCATGGAAACAGAAATATATTTATATAGTTCCATATGCAGAGAGCGAAGATTTAACGCTTTGACCCGCCTCTTGTCTTTGGAACCTCCAATGAAGACGTAGGAAGTATAGAGTCATTCTACTTGACGCATTTTTTATATGTACGCATTACCAGCCTGTGAACTACTCTTCCGACACCAATCGAGTATTTTAGCTCCTCTAAAGGAGCCATTAATGTACTTCGATCTGCCTGATAAACCCTTTTGATTCCTCTATAATACAATCGAAACGCGTCCCACCAATCGTAAGAGCATTTCATGCAATATTTAATACAAAAAACACCATTTCAAATAACTCAGCGAACAGCTACAAAAGATTATCGAAGACTGGTTCTAGCAAAGCACAAAAAGTGTTTTTTTGTTTTCAAACGATGATCGTATTGGTTATCGTTTGGCCAATCCTAGAAAACCACTATTTCTCTCTGTGGCTGATTATTTTTAGTAGGCGTTTACACGTGTGTGATAGGCAGATTGGAAACAAATGTTTACGTTCAGTGTTTTTTGTACGTTGGAAGCAGGGTTGCCAGACTCTACGCCAAAGTGGCGGTTTTAAATAATGGCGACTAAAATGGATTGCCAGCAAATTGACATCTTTTAATATTTCTGACGTCAGTTAATTTGTAATCCATTTTTGCTGGTATGTGTATAGATTAATGAAACGAGAACCAGCGGAAGTTTTGTGCTCTAAGCACGGTAGGAGTTCTTCGAACAGTATTCGCTTTGTCAACAGTTTCTGTTATCGCCTATTCATAAAAAAATTAATAAGAAGGCAAGCTTCAAGTTAGAGTGAGAAATTCCACTCAAATTCCCGTTTCTTGGGTCAATCTGCTTGCCCTAAAATAAACTTGCGAAGTTAATTTCACTAAACCATACCCTTTAACCCACGATATATCGACTGCTTCCATTCGAGGTCTTCTTAAATAAGATAGTGGACCTCATTTCACCAGACTGTATCCAGAATTAACTTTGCGAAAACTAATGAAATGAAAAACATTTGGCAAACAGCTTGAACGGGAGTAGTGGTTGAAGTCGGACAGATTAACGAAAATAATTAATCCAGCGAGCATAACTTTACAAGCCTGTTTAATAAATATTTCGAACAGAAGTAGTTAATCAATCAAAAATCACTTGCGAAGTAAATTTAATCAGATTATATCCTTTATGCTGTCCAACTACATCGAGTACTCCCATAGGAGCTGTTCAGCCAAACAAACTTGCCAAATTAATTTCATGGGTCTAGTTTCATTTGACACGCCTGTACGAACTGTTCTGGTATAGTAAATAAGCTTACGATCTTAATTTCACCGGACTATATCCAGAGTAGTCTATGTAGGTGGGTTAGAGGATATAGTCCGGTGAAATTAACCTTAGCAAAGGTGATTTTCATAAGTAGGTAAAATGATTTGATTCTTGGTATTGAATGATTGAGGCACATTAAATTTTAACCGTATTTATTTAACGTTTATTTGCACTGAGCAATAATACAAGCTAGCATACGAAATATCGCCGCCAGTTTGACTGGTTGACGAAAATTTTGAATAAAATTTGAAATAAAAGTCAATAAAAACATTTGTGCAACATTTAGAGCTTATACATTCATTTATACGTGTATAATAACAACATACATGTGTTGTACCGAATATATGTTTTTATTATATACATAAACACATCAATCAATAAAAAATATGAAAAATGGAAAATATAACAAGTATTATGGTCAAATGCCACGTCAACGTGTCGTGTTCCAAGCATATTAACGACATCCCATCCCCCCCCCCCCCAAAAAAAAATCGCTGGGAAAGGTAAATACGCAGAAAATTTTTAGTAGTCGGTAACCCCCCTCCCCGTTTTTCCGTTGTCCAAGATCAAAAACTCCCAAAAGTCTCTTCACATCAAAATGCCCCTCTAGATGAACTTATAGTTTTAATCATATTAAACATGTTCAGCACCCGCTTTTCAAGGAATTGTTTAGTTTATTATGCCTAACTCCCCCTCTTCAGTTATCGTCATCAGGCAGGCTACTACCCCCTCTCCCCCACCCCGATGACAAATCCATTCCATTCTCTAACCTGGCGTTTAACGATTAGACTCCTAGTTAATTTGCACTTTAAGGAATGGCGATTTTCTCATCAAAACTTGGCGACCAACGTGACTGAAAACTTGGCAACCCTGGTTGAAAGCTGCATGCGGTAAGGTCCCGTATCGTCAGGCGTTCCTACCTTGATTTTCATAGTATTTTCTCTCCTTCAGAAACGCAGGTGTATTTCTAGATTTCTACTGTTCCTAGTCAGCGTCAGCACTCTCCTATTATGAGTCTATCTTTCTTTTTGAATTGTAGGTAATTTCAGGCTGATATACAGATGATATAAATCAAAAGCGTGAACAATTTGATGCAAATAGATATTTGTAACATAACCTCAAAATAGCGCTGACACGGAACAGTAGAAAACTATGAAAATCAAGGAGGCCTCAAAGACGTCCTACAATAAATTGTAGGAACGATTGACAATACGGCCCTAAGTGAAGCTAACTAATCACGATTCGATTTCGCGCTTTGAATCATCCCTTTTCTTTGACACCTCCAACGAAGGCGTAGCGAGTATAGAGTCAATCTACTTGACGTGTTTTTTTTTGTTAGGCATCACCTCGGATGTTGACAGCAACAAGTCGCAAGCATGTTGCTCAGTTAAGAAACTGCTTATCTGAGTGTTACTATGCACCTGTTAAACATAATAAGTCACTTATATTTTCCCTACATCTGCTTTATACAGGGTGACTTCGAAGTTGAGTCATTTATTTTAACAGTGAGTAGATCTGATCAAAATAAATGTTTTTTTCCTTTACCATTTTTCTGGTAAAGTTAAAGTAACAAAGTTATAGCCCTTTGGAAGTTTGAGTACAGCCCTGTCTCAATAATAATATTATGTGCTCGTGTTTGGCGACAACGGATATAATCCGCCTTATCGGTTCATCGCATCGGAAACAACAAAGCGAAAGAATTTGGAACGATGTTTTTACAATTATTTCATTCATTTGTATACAGTCAGTGTCAGTCGGTAACGCGTGCGTGAATAGTGGTGTCTGTTGCGTGGCTCAAACGAAATAAAAAATGGCACATGTTTATGCGGATCGGTTTCCCAATCGAGTGCAACCAACCCCTCGTGCCTTTGTTAATGTAGTACAACGGGCTCGTGAATCAGGTGACGGCATGCCGGTGCTCCGAGACCTCACGATCAAATACAGGTCCGCACTGAAATACTTGTCGGGAGGATACTTTATAAAACAAGGTAAATTTTTTTTTTATTTTTACACACATATTTTGGTTTATCTTCCTTCTACAATCATTATCTGAAAATTAATGACTCAACTTCAAAATCACCCTGTATACGTCGATAAGCAGAAAGCGAAGATTCATCGTACCTTAGGCCCGTATCGTCAGTCGTCCCTACAATTGTAGGGCGCGTTTATGGCCTCCTTGATTGTCATACTCCTTTCTCTCCTTCAAAAATTACTAGATTACACTTGTCCCGTGTCAGCGTCAGCGCTCTCCTATTGGGAAGATTTGTTTTCCTTTTAAATTGTAGGAAATTTCAGGCGGATAAAACATGATATAACTCAAAAGCAAGCACAATTTGATGCAAATAGATGTTTGTGACATAACCTCAAAATAGAGCGCTGACACGGAGAAGTAGAAAACTATGACAATCAAGGAGGCCACAAAGGCGCCCTACAATTGTAGGGACGACTGACGATACGGGCCTTAGTGAACCTACGTAATCACGAATCGATTTCGCCTGTTGAAACGCTTTGACTCGTCCCTTTTCTTTGAAAACTCTAACGAAGACGTAGGAAGTATAGAGTCAATCTACTTGACGGCATTTTTTTATATGTACGCATCACCAACCTGTGAACTATTCTTCCGACGCCAATCGAGTATTTTAGCTCCTGCTCCTGCGTCTCAAAAGGACTAAGCTACTTATGTACTTCGATCTGCCTGATAAACCCTTTTGATTCCTCTATAATACAATCAAAACGCGTCCCACCGGTCCCACCAATCGTAAGGGTATTTCATACAATATTTAATACGAAAAACGCCATTTCAAATAACACAGCGAACAGCCATTGGCTACAAAAGATTATGAAAGACTGGTTCTAGTAAAACACAAAAAGTGTTTTTTTTCCAACGATGATCGTATTGGTTACCGTTTGGCCAATCCTAGAAAACCACTATTTCTCTCTGTGGCCGATTCTTTCTAGTAGGCGTCTACATGTGCGTGATAGGAAGATTCAAAACAAGTGTTTACTTCAGTGTTTTTTGTAGGCTGGAAGCAGTGTTGCCGGGCGTGGCCACTTTACGCCAAGGTGGCGATTTTAAATAATGGCGACTAAAATGGATTGCTTGGCGATTAGGTACTTTAGGGCCATATAGCCAGTCTTTCTTACAATTGTAGCTTGCCTTTCATAGTTATTCGTTCCTCAGAAACGCAGATTAGATTTCAACTGTTTTCTTTTTGAATTGCGTGCA